CCTAAAGTGCTACTGGGAAATAAATGAGGAAGTCATTAATTTGGGGGGAGGAGATGACATTTGAGTTGGGTTTAGGAAGTTGAGTAGGAGTTTCCCAGGCAGATAAGAGGCTAAAAAGTGTTCCAAGCCAAGGGAAAACTACTATAGTGCTTATCTCCAGCTGTGCTTATCTCCAGCTGTGCTGTTAATATTGGTCCACTCCCATCAGCTACAAATTCCTTGAGGTCATGAACCAACTTGATTCTCCAAAATGACCATATAGCTCCTTATTTTATGATTTAATTTTTATTTACTGATTCATTTCACATTTGATAATTTTATTCATACTTATGTTTACTGGCAAAGTAGTATTTCTTATGGGAAACTTGGTGAATTCAGAGCTGCCAACAAATAAATCCCACGGGATTCAGTGAGTTCACAATCATAGGAACAACCATTAGTATACGGAACTATATACACTAGTGTGGATCCTTCCTTTTTCCACTCACATAACTTCTCTGTCTATCCTTATACTTTTTTTGGGGGGAGGGGTCACCAGGGTTTGAACCCAGGGCCTCCCACTCCCTAAGCAGGTGCTCTACAACTTGAACAATTCCACCAGCCCTGTTTTGTATTGAATAGTTTTGAGATAGGGTCTCGTGAACTATTTGCTGGGAGCTGGCTTCGAACCTTGATCCTCCTGATCTCTGCCTCCAGAATAGCTAGGATTACAGGCGTGAGACACTGGTGCCTGGTCCACATACTTTTAAAGCAAAAATGGTATCATAATCTGTTTATTAGTTTAGAGTTTATTTTCATTTAAGCACCATAATAGAAATTCTGATTGTTTGCCTATCCAGCCTCCTACTGAAGGAAATGTAGACATTAGCTTTTCAACTTACAATGATGTCATGCCTCCCAAAAATCCATCATAAACTGAATACCCTGTAAATTGAAAATGTACTTTTGTTGGGTTTGGAGACCTAAGGCAGATGAGTGACTATCCCATCCCCCATGGAGAGCACTATGATCCCTGCACCCTGAGAAGGAGGTGTAAATCTGCATCCTGAAGAGGAGATACAGGGTCTTGTAGATCTGCCACAGGGCTGATGAGCAAAGTGCTATAAGATTGTTCCCCCACTCCTCAATAAGGGGCAAACAAGCCAGCTTGTCTAAGAGAGCCTGCGAATCCACGGCAATGAGAAGAGCCCCCCAACCCTTGCCCAAACTCAGAGTTAAACGTCCATAAAAGCCCCAGCCTTCACCTGAGCAGGGAGCCACTGGTTTCCGGGCTCCTCTGCACTGCTCTGGCTGTAGCCTTTCCTTTCTGTCTGATAAATCCTATTTCTTGTACCAGCCTTGGCTCACAAGTCAATCAGCTGCCTCATGAGCAGTTCTCTGGCCTGTGAAGGCAAGGACCCTTGACACTGGCCCACAACATTTCAAACCAGCACGTAACACTTACTATACCTACCATACTGGAGTTGTACCTTAGAGTAGGCCACCCCAACTCTGCCAGGACACTTATGTTACTCTACAGTTGATGTATATCAAGCATCGCTAGCTTGAGGGAAGATAAGAATTCAGAATTTCAAGTGCTGTTTCTTCCAATTGCAGATCAGCTTTACACCATTGTGAAAGTGGAAAATTCTGTCATTTTATTGTTTTGCTTTGTTGAAGCAGGCTTTCACTACGTAGCCCGGTTCCTTCCAGTCTTTTTTTCCTCTAGAGGTAAAACAATGGTTCTCTGTTCCTTGTAGTCAGTCAAGCCCAACCAGAGCCACAGGCCATCATGGTACCTAGCTTCCCAGAATGTAACCAGGAGCCTTAACTGATTGAAGCCCCCAGCAATGATATTTCATTTCCAATGAGCATTTTTTCATTAGGAATTTTTCCACATTAGTCAGGCACAGTGGCACACATTTGCAGCCCCAGCTACTCAGAGCCCAGTGCAGCAAAAAAAAGGGAAGATGAGCCCAGGAGTTTGAGGCCAGCCTGGGTAACATAATGACACATTGTCGCAAAAAATAAATAAAATACAAATTGAAATCCTGTTACAAGTAGATGGTCCTAAGAGTAAGAAAGCTTATAAGAACCACTAATTTAATAACCTTTAGCATTACAGAGAAAAGACTTTTATATCTTTGGATCCTTCTCATTATAAAGGTCTTCAGGACTAAAATCTGTACCTATGTATCTATCAACTATCATCTATTTATCTATCATCTGTCTGTCTATCCATCATCTCTCTCTCTCTCTTAAAAGCCAAGGAATATAGGGCTGGCAGTGTGGCTCAAGTGGTAGAGTGCCTGCCTAGCAAGCATGAGACCCTGAGTTCAAAGCCTGGTCCTGCCTGGTGGAGACCTCTGATCAAAGGTAACTTATAGGGCTGGTGGAATGGCTCAAGTGGTAGAGCGTCTGCCTAGCAAGTGTGAGGCCCTGAGTTCAAAACCCAGTACCACCAAAAAACCAAAACAAAATAAAGAGGTAACTTACAGGGCTGAGAGCTGAGGGCATAGCTCAGTGGTAGTATAGCACTTACCTCACATGTGTCAGGTCCTGAGTTCTGTTCCTGCACCACAAAAAAACAACACAAAATAAAAAGTAGTTTTGGTTAATTAGGTTGGCATCTGTCTTTCTTAGCAAATTTGTGTTTTTTAACTCATGGAAGCTTTATAATTAAGTACAGAAAGGCATATTGGAGTAAAAAGAACTATTGGATTAATATGTTGGGTTAAAATGAAATATATAGATAATTCACATTTTTATGTACTTGTAAATTTATTTTATATGTATGTATTTTTTGCAGAAGTGGGGGTTTGAGTTCTAGGCCTATACCTTGAGCCACTCCACCAGCCCTTTTTTGTGGAGGGTTTTTTGAGATAAGAGTTTTGAGAACTATTTGCCCAGGGCTGGCCTGGAACCTTGATCCACCTGATCTCTGCCTCTTTAGTAGCTGGGATTACAGACATGAGCCACTGGCGCCCAGCTTGTACTTGCAAATTTAAAGAAAGTTTGGGCTATTAGACTGACAGACTCATAACTCCTGTTTTAGACTAACAGTTTAATAATTAGTTTTTAAATCAAGATCTTACTAAGTTTACACGAGGAAGTAGGTCATCAAAGAGAACTTTAACTCATTACATTTGTAAGTATATTTGATTTACAAGGATTTCTAAACTCTGAAAAGTTTCTAGGTTAGACAATTGAAGGAATTAAGCAAATCTAATATATTAAGCTTATAGACATCATTTAAAATGTTTGAAGATTAACTAAGTTTGTGAATGAGACCACGAATTATTTGGTTTCTAAAATATTGGTAAAATGTGCCAGGCTTATAAATAGAATAATAAAACTTATAAGCTAACCTTCAAATTTAAGAAAGATGCTCCAGGCACTGTGGTTTCACACCTGTAGTTTCAGCTACTTAGGAGCCTGAGGCAGGAGGATCTCTTGAGCCAGGGAGGTTCTACATTAGTTTGGGCAATATAGCAAAATACCATCTTGGAAAAAAGAAAATAAAAACAAGCTTAAGAAAGAAAGAAAACTTGAATTTGTAGTTATACTAAACTCTGGCCATTTTTCTATGGAGGTGCGAAGGGGCTTTTCTGTGGCTCACACACATCTTCTGGGGAGGAGGGCTGCACTTGCATTTTGGGAACAGCGCCCTGGTGACTGTGAGGATGTGGTCGGCAGAGGGAGAATAGAGATGCTAATCGAGGGGGAGGGAAACAAAAGACACTTTCGCGATCACACGTGGGATGTAGGCGTCTGAGTGCGAACTGAGTCAATGACACGTGTCCCTGTGGGACACACAGGTGACAACACTCCCTAGGCGGGTGAATACTGAGGGGCTTCCAGAAGGTCCGTTTTGGAGAGAGATATTTAGAGGTCATCAGGATAAAGTTACTGAGAACGAGCAAAGAAACCCCAAAAAAGGGCTGAGGACCGAACCGTCCGGTACGGACACCTTCAGGCAGGTCGCAAGGTGCAGGCGGAGGAGGCAGCCCTGTAGGGCACAGAGGCCCTAAGACAGGACCCGCGAGGAACAGCAGGGAGCCCAAGCCCGCTGCTCTGGCGACTGCTGGCGAATCAGCGCGGGAACCGAGGCAGATGGCGGAGCCTGGGGTGGGAAGTCCTCTACCGCAGTTTGGGTCCTGCCAGTGTCCAACAAGGACACCGTGGGCCACCCGAAAGGACACCTTCCCCGAGCCTTGCTGCGGAGGTTCACTCAGCTGGCAGAGGGGAAGAGAGGCAGCTCACAGCTTTGATTTCAAGCAGCCGGCGCCTCTCCACCTGCAACGGACAGGGCGGTGGAGGGAGCGCAGGCTGCAGGACAGGGCGGACCTTCCCGGCAGGGCTCCAGGGAGCGCGTGGCCGTAGGTACGCGGGCTCCGCCTCCCTGCTTCCGCCTGACTGCATCGTAGCGGGCCGCGGGGCGGGGCCAGAGCTGGGGGGCGGGGCCTACCGTCTAGCCCCGCCTCCGCCCTCGGGGCTGATGGCTGGGCAGGACCTCGGGCGGGGTCCATTGGGGAGGGGCCGGAAGGAAGGGGCGGGACCAGCCGCTGCTGCACCGTCTCGGCCAGCCACGGCGGCTGGGCGGGGTCGCTTGGGAGGGGCTTGCGGGACGGGGCTGACAGAAAAGGGCGAGGAGGGGGCGGATCAGCAGTTCTAGTCCCGCCTCCACCCGCCCTCTGGGCAATGCGTCTGGGCGAGGCCGCTGGGGCGGGGTTGGCGGAAGGGGGCGGGAGCAAGAGCTCTGGCCCTGCCTCCGTGCGTGCGCTGGAGCAGCGCAGCTGGGCGAGGCCGCTAGGGCGGGGCCTGCAGGAGGGGGCGGAGCCCAGCAGCCCTGGCCCCGCCTCCGCCCGCATTCTGGGGCACAGAAGCTGGGCGGGGCTGGCGGAAGGGGGCGTGGCCATCAGCCATGGCCCCGCCTTCGCCCGCCCCCTGGAGCAGTGCGGATGGGCGAGGCCTGTGGGGTGGGGCCGGTGGCGCGGGGCGGGGCCTCGGGGACCCCGACAGCCCGCGCACTCTGCAGGAGCTTGCAGCTGCCGCCGCCCGTGTCTTCAAGGTCTCACCGTTTCCTCACCAGAGACCCGGGCTCGGCCGCCATGTCCGCCGCGGACGAGGTTGACGGGCTGGGCGTGGCCCGGCCGCACTATGGCTGTGAGTGAGGGGACCTTGCAGCGGAGCTCGCGGTCTCCGAGGCGCGGTTTTCTTGGGGGCTCCGCGGGCCGGGTGGGGCCGGGTGGCTGCGGGCCGCGCGGACCCGGAAGAGCCGGCCGGGCGGGGTGGCGGTGGCGGGGTGCGGCGCCCGCGTCCCCTCGAGCTCCGGGGCGGCCGGTAGGACCCGGGCGCCTCCCCGCGTTAGCCCGGGCCGCGGCCGGAGCCCCACCCAGAGCCTCCCGCCGCCAGCGCGACCGAGACTGGGGAGACGGCCGGGGTGAGGTGGCAGGAGGACGTGCAGGGCGTGTCCCGGGGACGGGGACGGGGACGGGGACGGGGCCCCGGCTCTGCTCCACTCGGTGGGAAGGTGCTGCCTGCAGGGCACATCCAGGGTCCCGACCTGCCCGGCCCCAGGCTAGCTGCCAGGTGCGGTCCCGGGCAGGTCACTCCTGCTTTCTTCAGACTGCATTCCCACGTCCGGATTTCAAACTTAAAAAAAAAAAAAAAAGCCCAACCAAAAAAGCATCGAAAACCTCTGACTTCCTCATTTTCTGTGGCCATCTCTGGGACGTCAGTGAACCATGGGTGGGATGGTTACTACTGGCTATAGTAGGGTCTTTTAGGGTCCCGATTTTATTTTGTGTTCTGGGGATAATCTTGTTTTTTCTAAATAAAAAGAATTATCAACAGTTATATGTGAAGTATTGTGCCACGTTTGTGAAAATAGGGATGAGTAAGACAAGCCCAGCCTTCAAAGAATTGTTAATCAGAGAGACAGACAGGTGTACAAGCTAATGCTAATGGGGGCAATTAAGATAAAAGATGTGCAAGCGATGAGGAGAAGGGGCTAGGGGAAGGCAGTGTAAGCACAGGTAGTGACATCAGAACTCAGCCTGGAATGATAGGAAACATGGACAGGGCAGGGTGGGACAAGAGACACAAACTAAGATATTGAGGACAGGGGCACTGCTTATGTCGGGAAGAGTGCACTGTGGTGGTGGCGTGGGTGAGGGATGAGGCAGAAGCATTTCCAAAAGTAGCTGAGGCCAGACTGGGAAAGGCCTGGACTGCCTTGCCAAGGGGTTAGGAATTTATTCCATACCTTGGATGACCATGAAGTCAGATTGCTTCAGGGTGAAGCCTGAAGGCCTTGCAGACTGGCTGGCTGAGTTTGAATCCAGACCCCTCCTCCTCTTAGCCGTGGGGCTAAGCTCACCCAGCTTCAGTTTCCTGCTCTGTAAAATAGGAATAATCACAGGATTGTTGTGGGCTTCAGTGAGAGAATGCATGTAAAGTGCTTAGCGCAATTACTACCACTTAGCATTTTATAACTGCTGGCTTTGGTTATTAATAAAAGGAAAAGTATGATGAAATCTATATTTAAAAAGCTCTGACAAACAGCCACAAGTTTAGGCCAAGTCTCAAGTCAGAATTTAGTACATGTTCCTGTTACCATACATTTTTAAAAAGGACAAGATGAATATAGTTGAAACCTCATAGTTCTTGTCTTAGGAAAGTTATTGTAGTACACCTAACATCTACCAGTTGCTTTGACTTGTTAGGTGACTAGCAGGAATTTGATGGCTGTGGCATTCTTTTATCTATAAGAAGGTTACAGATCCTGGGATTTACACTCGCTCTTTCATGTTTTAGCTGTCCTGGATAACGAGAGGCTTACTGCCGAGGAGATGGATGAAAGGAGACGGCAGAATGTGGCTTATGAGTACCTTTGTCATTTGGAAGAAGCAAAGAGGTAAAGATGGGCTGTCTAGAGAAGGGAAGTGACATGTTGTGAACATAAAGATTGCTCTGTGTATGCTGTAGGTGAGACTGTGGGAGTGGTTAGGGAGTAAGTACAGGTAGGGTGTTTATTCATGGGAGCCTGTGGGTGGTTTATCTTGCAGCACTGTGATGAACATTTGTGATACTGAAAAATTTCCACATTTGTGCAGTTCAGTTTTATGTTTGTTATGGTGCGTGTTTTAGGTACTGCCAGCTGTCTGTTGGGAATAGCATTTTTAGTGTTTGAAGTTGCTTCATACTTGCAAATCAGGCGCTCTACTGCTTGAGCCACACCTTCAGTCTATTTTTGCTTTGGTTATTTTGGAGATGAAGGTCTTAAGAACTGTTTGCCCAGGCTGGCCTCAAACTCCGATCCTCCCAATGTCAGTTTCCCAAGTAGCTAGGATTACAGGCATGAGCCACCAGCACCCAGTTTGAAGCTCTTGGTCTTAATACTTTGCTGATTCTTTCCTAGTTTTAATTTATATATGAATTGAGTCCCCCGCCTCTTGACTTGTGGAATGGGTACTGGATTTGGGAGGCTTATAAGGGATGTGCTGTAGGTGAAGATCCACCCCATTCTGTGATATTGAGACGGCTTACCAAAGGCAGCATCCTCTGTGTTCTTTATGAAGTGGATGTATAGCTGTTGTTATTCAGATATCTCAGGACCTTGTGGTCTTAATTTTAGGGTATCAATTTGCTATCAATGATTCCTTTTGTTCTGGTGCTTATGTTCTTTTGCAGCCTCCCAGGATGGATGGATGTAATTATAGATTCTGTATTCTATAAGTAAGCTTTGGAGGAAAAGATGAGGGAGGGTAATGAAAGGTATTTATCATCAAAGATTAATGAAAAATCAAGGATGTTTTAAATGGGCTAATAAACATGGGCTTTCTTTTTTTTTCTTTTTAAAATCTGAACATCTTAAAATGTGAAGGAAAATCCAGAGAACAATGTGTCATTCTCTATTCTGGAACCAACACATGGTTACTCTTCAGGTCTTCCCCTTTCCTCTAGATAAAATAACTGCCACAGTTTGAGTCCCTTTTTGTCCCTCCCTGCTCCCATTCTTCTTTGCTTCCCTGGAGTAACTACTGACATGCATTTGGCATTTCTTCTTCTAAGCCTTTCAAGGAAATCAGGTACTGGTACTAGTGGTTTAGGTGAGGATGAGTGATAACAGCACTTAGCTGTGTAAATGGAAGTTTATCATGATAACTTGGTGGTGCTGGAGGTAGAACCCAGGGCCTCCCACATACTAAGCACACATTCTACCACTGAGCTGCACCTCCAGACCCCCTAAATGGAAGTTTTAGAATGGAAGAAATGAATATGCTGTTAGAAAAGGGGACATTTCCTCACACAAAGTTTGTAAGGGAACAAAAATATTAAGTCCTCAGGTACTTAAGTTGTTTTGGAAGGTGAAAGAATTTGTAAGCTGGTCTAAGAGATCATCTTGTGCTCTGTGGGAATCTTGGGGCAGTGGGAACTCTGTTGGGGTGACCGGAGGATGAGAAAGAAGAACCCTAGCACAGCATCCTTCTCCCATCCACAGCTGTTCTGTTTTTGTTTAAGTACTGGATTTCCACTGTAACATTCTTTTTACAGAGGGTCTTTCCTGACTCCCTTCTTCTCTGAACACTGTAACTACACCAGTTCAACCTCTAATGTAGTTCAGCCGTATTATTTCAGTGAGGAAACAGGCCTGGATTTTCCTGTGTACTTGTAGTTTCTTGATTAAAATAGTTTCCATTGTTTTATGCAGTGGTTATAAACAAGCATGTACATTAGGATGAGCTGGGGAACTTAAAAAATGCAGATATCTGGGCCTTACCACAGAGATTCTGGTTCAGTAACTCTGGGCTGGAGAAGTCAGACCCCTGTATTTTTAATTTTTGCAGTGTTTGGCATTGAACCCAGGGTCTTGTGCATGCTAGGCGTTGTCTGCTCAGCTACATCCCCAGCTCCACACCTACAGATTTTAAAATGCATCTAGTGGTTCTGATGGTCCTCCCCACCCCTCATGGCAACTGAGGAACAGGATTTAAAACCTCATTAGGGCCCTGGGATGTGACAGTGTGGGATGTAACAGCCTGGCAGGGTGATGCTTTTCTCATTCTTCCCTTCCTCAAGGGCCACCCTGGTGGCATTTCTTTTGCCTCTGCTCCAGAGCACATTCTTTTCTGTCAGGTGTTTTTCCAGGGTAGGAAAGAGTCCCATTAACTAACCCGCCCAGAGGCCTTTATCTTCTGGGGGTTTAGATGGAAGCTTGTGCACGCTTAGGAATGACAGGCAGTGGAGACATTGGTGGTGGTCTTTATTTCTTATGCTTTGAGTTCTAACAGAGGGCCTAACTGTTGCATATTGCCTTGGCATAGTCTTCTGTTGGCTTGGCATTGCAGAGATGTGCCTGATTTATTTTATGGAAGAAATCATATAAAATCTAGATGTGGTGATTTTGTTGTTGTTTTGCTAAAAGCGTTGATTAGAAAATTATCTTGGGGAAGCACCCGTTTAGATTTATAGCTAGAGAGAACCGAGAAACCTGGAATGTTTTGGTGAGAAAAGAGGACTAGGATCCCCACCAGCCATCTAATCTGGCTGCTGCCACCCCTAGAATACTTTCTGGGTACATGGTAGACTTCTCTTCATTGTTAGCTAGGCCTTCCTCTCCTACTCTGACTCCTGCCCTGGGGAGCTGGGCTGCATCTTGTGGGCTCCTAGGGCTCCTCATACCCTCCTCGCCCAACACAGTGCCCAGTTTGCCTTTTGGGTTTGGCCTGGTCTTGTTTCCTCTAAAGATGAAGGAGCCCCAGGGTCTGGGACTTACAGTGGCTTTGAGGCCAGGAATAAAGATCAGTGAAATCTAAGGGAGGAAAGGTTCCCTTCCTGAGTTCTATTTATAATACCTCTACCCCTGCCACAAAGTCTCCACCTTCTAGTACAGTAGCCCCATTGTGTTTCCTGGGGCACTCCACTTCCCCTGTACCTTTAACAGCTCTTTCATGGGAAGAAATGAAAGTGTGTGGAGAGAATTAATATGTGGATACTGAGCACGCGCACATGTGTGTGAGTGTGTGTGTGTCTGTGAGAGAGAGAGAAAGAGAGAGGAATTAGATGTGCTTATTGGCTTATATTTCCCCAAAAGGTTAAGTGGGAAAATTTAAGGGTGATTCATAAAAATATGCACTGGGAGTGGCTGGGAAGTTGAAAATACAGCAATTTCTGCTGTATTATTTCAAAACTAACTTCAATATGGAAATTAAGCTGTTTTTCTAATTAAGTATTTAAGGAGTCAAACTTTCTGCTAAAGGCCATGCAATGGAGCAAGGATTTTATAAAAGGGATTACTAGTCATGCTTACATGAGAGTTCACTTTTGTTTCTTTGCCTGTTCTGAATGGCTTTACTTTTTTTGTAGCTAAGGAGCAGTGTACAGGAGGGGTGAATAGTAGGTTCACCTAATTGAGGAGGAGACATTTAAATCTGTGAGGTATGTAGGTTCTCAGGTCTTCTACCTGAGAAAGTAATAAAGATCAGAAGGCAGCTCATATGAAAAGAAAAGGAACTAAGCCAAGAACATATCAGACAGGGAAAAGTGCAGATTCAGAGAAAGTGTAAGTAGTTCTGGAAGTGGAGGAAAATTCAGTTAGGTTAAAGGTTACAAGATAAGGTTAATTGGAGCACTCCCTGAATTCTCCCATTTAGTATTCCTTCTTTCAGAAACTTTCTGGTTTGTTCATTCAAATCTGTCCTGGACCACCTTCTTCCTGCTAAGTGCCCTTTTGCAAGCTCCAGGGGCGTAGACTCCCAGCTGTCCGTGTGGACGGGAAAGTGCAGGCCATGGCTGGTTGGAGACCATAAGAACCACGTGGTGCTAATAAGTGCTGAGTGGGAGCATTGTCCCTTCTGTAGTTTGGGGGGACTGAAGAACAATCTGGAAAACAAGTTAGTTGATGAGAACAAATTCTCTTTTGTACATCCATCTTTGTTGTTGGCATAGATAATTTTCTGTGTTCACTTCTTCAGATCTCTCCTCATAAATGGTAGTAGAATTCCAGGAACATCTGAGTATTTACAGGTTATCATACTGGGGTCCTGAAAACAGAGGTTAAGACATTTAAGAGACAAGAAGACAAAATAGGTAGGTGAGGTTACTAGGAAGAATAGCCTGCCCACCAGCTTCTACAATTCCCTGATGGAGAAGCATCAGTTAAGAGTTTAGAGAGCTGGGCACTGGTGGCTCACTCTGTAATCCAAGCTGGATTGGGAGGCTGAGATCGGGAAGATCGTAGTTTGAGCCCAGCCAGGGCAAATAGTTTGTGAGACCCTATCTCCAAAATAACCAGAGCAAAATAGACTGGAGGTGTGGCTCAAACAGTAGACCACCTGCCTGGCAAGTGCAAAGTCCTGAGTTCAAACCTCAATCCCAGTTTAAAAAAAAAAATTGAGAGAGAAAGCCAGCCATGGTGGTGCATGTGTGTAATTCCAGCACTTGGGAGGCTAAGGCAGGAGTGTCGCAAGTTTGAGGCCAGCCCAGGCTAAGTAGTGAGAACCTATCTCCAAAAAAAAAAAAGAAAGAAAGAAAAAAAGGGAGATTTTTTTTTTATTAGGATATTGATCCAAACTCACTTTGTCTGGCTCAAACTCTCCTTATACAGCTGAGAAAACTAGTCACTTTACAACAGCCAGTGTGATTCAGGGTCCATAGCATGTAGCCATGGGCACATTGGCACTGGGATCCGGATGCATGGGTGTATTCATAGTTACCAAGGGCTTGTTACCAAGTAACAAGTGGGCTTCACTCTTAAAATGGGGACATGGGTGGAAACATGCATTCTCTTTTTCTGAAACCTAACTTAGTGCAGCTGCCTTGGACAGACTCCATGATCAGAAGTGGGTTGCACTTAAAAGTGTAGCTGTTAAAGTGCTTCAGACTGGGTGCTTTTGCAGTAGGAAGGCTGAGTGG